AGTGGGCAAGTGACGTAACCGGTGTTGCGGCTTAACACCGGTATCACCGTCAGCACCGTCTATCGCGGCAAGCCTAGCTAAGAATCAAATATGGTGATTTGTATTTTAACAAAATCTTACTTAAATGATACATCAAGCTTTTGAGGAACATTTATTTCTTCTTTATCTCTCAGTTATTGTATTGCATTGAATTAAATGTGTTGTCCCCCACAATAAAAACTAAATAGATTTTTAAATATCATCTTACTAAGACATAATTGGGAGATATAGAGTGACAGCTGATATTTATATCCTTTTTTTTGTAAATATCTCTAACTTGTACTGTCATAAAAATCTCGTTGATTTGCATATAAATGACACAATTTGTACCAAATTTCATATTTGTCAAATTTCATAGTTTAGGCCTATAAATAAAACAATTATAAATAAATGTGTTTTTTCCTCCTCGAGTATGGGCTCCATATTTCTCATTGTGTCATATTATTTGGGCCATAAAAGCCTGATGTATCAAACAAGATACAAAACATCAAACACGTATGCATTTTTCTTTCTTTTATAATTAAAAGGTTCAGCAGACTCTTAATCTTAATCTGTGACTATTTGTGACCGGAAATGATGTAAATGAAATGATGAAGGAAAGTTTGCCCTTTAGTAGTATAATTTGTTTCTTCTTTCTCTCCTCAGGCGAGTCTATGGAGATGGAGGAGCGTGTGAGTGAGCGACAGGCTGAAGTGCTGGCAGAGTTTGAGCGCAGAAAGAGAGCGAGACAAATCACCGTCTCTACTGATGATGTAGAGGTCAAGGCCTGCCTCCGAGCTCTTGGCGAGCCAATCACGCTGTTTGGGGAGGGGCCTGCAGAGAGACGAGAGAGGTGGGCGGACAGATTTTTTGACTATTGGTTAAAGGGGTCATATGATGCTGCTAAAAAGAACATTATTTTGTGTATTTGGTGTAATGAAATGTGTTTATGCGGTTTAAAGTTTAAAAAACACATTATTTTCCACATACTGTACATTATTGTTTCTCCGCTATGCCCTGCCTTTTTGAAACACGTCGATTTTTACAAAGCTCATCGTTCTGAAAAGCAAGGTGTGCTGTGATTGGCCAGCTATCCAGTGCATTGAAGGAAAAATTGAAATCGCATCATATGACCCCTTTAAAAGCTTTGCAGCATATTCTGGGAAAAAACTGCCCAATTAGATGCATAGAGCATCTGACCGACAAACAAAAGAAATGGTGTCAGTATGATGGGGGATTTTTACTGTTGGAGAAATTAGTGATTTTCAACATAGTATTTATATTTGTAGCTAACACTAGTCTCTTGTGTTTACAAATGCTGCAAAAATGAAGTAAAACAGTAATAAAATATTGCAAAAATATTATTACAGTTTATTAAAAATGTTTTATAATATATTTTAAAATGTAATTTATTCCTGTGGCGGCAAAGCTGAATTTTCAACGGCCATTATTCCAAGTGTCACATGATCCTTCAGAATTTATTCTAATATACTGATTTGCTGCTCAAGAAACATTTTTTTTTAATTAGCACACATGAAAACATTTGTGCTGCTTAATATTTTTGTAAATATTAATAAATATTTTGAAACGTTCTATATATATATATTGTTGTCACTTTCGATCAATTTAATTCATCTTTTAATTCATAAGTATTCATTTCTTTTAAAGCAGCACTATGTGACTTTTGACGCTCTAGCGGTTAATAAACAGAACTGCACGCATCCCGCGGAAGAACATTTCAACCGGAGCTACTTCTCTAAGTTTATGTCTATGGCGATTCACGCAGGTATG